ATTGTTTTTTAAATTAATGATATTTTTTATTTTTTTAACTATGTTATTTTAGAAAAACTGATGATGGTGGAAAAATACACCGAAGCGTATTTTAATTGATAAATAAAGACAATTTTGATTTGGATTTCCGATAATGCCACCCCAAGTATTTAATGAGCAACGGGTTTGACTATAACTCCGCCTGGGGCAGCTGATGGGTGAACTGAGTAGCTCAATAGCTGTCACTGCGGGTCCTAAGCCCGGAAAAAGGAGGAAGGTTCTCAGGCAAGGCCAGAAAGCTACCTGGGGTAAAAAGCTCTTAAGGCTCACAGAACTGAAAAGATCGCCTCGGATAACGGACGGACCAACACGGTGACGAACAAGGCTACAAAAAGAGATAAACGATTTTGGAAACATAACCGCAACATCACAAGAATCGCCTGCTGGAATGTAACATCATGGAACGGAAGAGATCAGGAAATTATGATTGAGATGAAAAAGCATAAAATCGATATTTGTGGAATCTCAGAAACAAAAAGAAAAGGAAAGGAAACCACTTTGGTTGAACAATACACATTAGTATACAGCGGTAGAGATAAACAGGAAAGAGCACAATCCGGAGTGGGCATATTAATACACGAAAGACATGCACAAAACATAGAAGAAATAGACTATGTGAATGATAGAATATTAAAAGTATCGCTGAGGACTGGGGGAACTGTCATACACCTAATAAGAACGTACGCCCCAGACATGTCTAAACCAACAGAAGAGTCAGATATCTTCTATGAAAAACTTCAGAACACTGTATGTAAATAATAAAATAAACAATGAACATAAAATTATCATTCTCGGGGACCTTAACGCCCGCATAGGAAATGGGGAGAAACGAGGTGTAAAGCAAAGGCTCAACGAGGCAGTAATAACGCGCAAGAAATGAAATGAAAATAAATAATACTTTTTTCTCACACAAGAACCAGCATAAATACACATTTAATAACACCAGCGCCCATCGATAAACGATTTATTTCATAATTACGAATAGTCATCACACCATCACAAGGTCTTGACGTCAGAGCGTTAACATCAGCCAATATAGGAACAGATCACAACCTAATTTTATGCAATATTCTGCTGGAACGCCCTCAAACTGCCAGAAAAACGTTAGAGTACATAGAATGCTGAAAATCAAGAATTGCGTAGAACAAGCCGCCGAAGAAGCCATAGGAAAACGGAAGATAAACATAAACGCAAATAACCGCACTAAGCCATGGTTCTACAGCTTCTCACATCGTTTCCTATGCATTCGAGAATACGGTTTTCGAACCATAGTAGAAAGGGCAGGGAAGGGAATGATCACATCGGCGATGGGATCGTTCACGTTCTCTCGAGCTCGAGAATTGGGCACCAGGAGGTGAAACAACTCGCAGCTATCTGAAGTACAAGAGCCTACAGACAATAGAACAACAAGCCGAATATGTACAGACTAGAAACAGAGTAAACTCAAAAATAAAAGAAATCAAACGAGAATATTGGATTAAGTTTACTGCCGACATTGAATACGATATGTATGGCGCACAGAGAAATGTACGGAAACTGCTCAAAAACAGGAAAAAGCCAGTGAATGAGTATGTACAAACCAAAGGAGTGTCTATGGAAACCTCGGAGGAAACCTAACGAGCTTCTTAAATATGGCGGACAGGAACTTACGAGGCAACTATGCCTACTGCCAACAGGACGTGGTGCGATGGGGAAGACAAAGAAAGAGACAGTGGTACAGTCACGTAAAGAGGATGGACGAAAACCGTCTACCGCGTATCGTGTTGGAGGGAAGACCACTGGGTACTAGACCAGCGGGAAGACCACCTAAAAGATGGAAGGATAGCTGGCAGTCAACATCCCAGGAAATACTGCAGAGGCGTGCTCAGAATTAACAGATCGCAAGATCTCGGAACAGTACAAGAAGAAGGGTTTGCCTATTTGTTCTTATAAAATCAGGCTTGGTATTTGCATAATAATAGAAATGATGTCTATTAACCATTCCATTGTTATGAAAAGTAGCTTCATCAGTAAATAATACATAATTTAAAAAAATCTGTATTCCTCAATTTTGCGCCTGGTCCATTCTCGAAATCTGTCTGGTTACATAGTCCTGGTTGTTAAATTCCTGCATTAACTGGATGTGATATGGATGAATTTTACTTTTTACCAATATTTTTGTATAGTAGATCGGCCTATATCTATTTCATTAGCAATTATTCTCTAGGAGGTATGAATATTTTCAGTTACTTTTAATAAAACTGCCATTTCATTTTCTTGTGGTGAAGCCGCTTTTAGTATGTCCATTTTCTCATATTCAACATTTCCTGTTCGTGTAAATCGTTCCATTAATTTTTCAAACAAACGCCTTTCTTTGCGGTTGTCTTCTTTCAGGAAAATGTTGATAATAAAGTCGCGTAGCGAGCGTACAGTTTTTATCACTAGCAGCTAGTATAAACACCATATCCACTAATTCTTCTTTAGAGAAATTAAAATTTGTTTTTTCAACTTTTTAATAATATGGATGACTTCTAAACTGGTCGTCATATACTAAATGTATATCGATATGTCAAGAATCATCAAATTTTGACACTTATTCATTAAATTCCATAGCCACCTTACAAAATGTAGCAACTTTTTGAAATTTTTAAATAAAACAAATTATAATTTTAAAACGCTTGATTTCACAGCTTAAAGTGTAGATGCAAATTTGTAACTTTGAACAGTGTCTATCTAATGACGTATTAATATACAGATACATCAATTTGAAAAAGAAAGTTATATTGCGTTAAAAAGTTTCAGATTTAAGTCCACATGGTTAACAACCTGTACAATATTGTACATTATATCGATATTTTCGCTCAATAGAATTCTGAACGGATCTGTGGTGATTGGAAAGACGTATTTTTGTGTATTTTTTACTGCTGTTTTTTGCTTCTGCAATGAATTTGTAGATACCATGTACTCTTAATTATTTTGATTGATTTAAAACGAAAATACCTTTAACAAAAAAATGTGTATTTTACAGAATCGGCGCCAAATCCGCATCGTGAATGCACCTTCGTTGAATGAAACGTACTAAAATACAGAATGACTCTATTTTGTATTTTAGTCAAAATGGAAATTCCTTGCAACAATCTTTCATATATCTAATAACGCACAACATGCTAAAATTTAACCGTTTGCGACATTCCGATAATACGCTAAATAGTCTAATCGACGATAAATAGTAGGGATATTATTTTAGACGGAGAATAAGTGGTACTTCTAATTGTGCGATCGTGTTTAGCAGTCGAACAATGGAACGCTGAAAATAGAGAGGCATTAAAAGTAGCTATTCCTCCAAATAAAATATTATCTTTTTCCTTCCAATGCCGTCAAATATTTTAAATTTGAAATGTATAAGCGCACTTGCACGTTTGTATTGTTGTTGTTTGTTAGTATGCATTACTATATGTTGCCTTTTTGTTCTTCCGGCGGAGAAAATTTCAAACGTAAATATCCACGTGATGTTATTTTAGCAGTTTCTTGATTTCCTTAAAAGTCGTTGCTTGTTATTGTTCCTGACAAATTATTAATTTCTTCTAAGGCAATTTATTAAAAAATACTCTATGCAATGAGTATGCAACTCTAATAACTACAATATTTTCTTAGATTCTCAGCAGGGTTCAGTTATTGAGCATAACTTCCAGAAACATTTAAGCGATTATGCAATTTCCCCTGACCCAGTGGTTTTATAAGAAATAAAAGCTCTTCCTCCCAATTCATAGCTTGTAGTTTTTTCCGACGGTATATTTTACTTTCCACAACTTTTACATTTATACATACAGGATACATAAAGATAAAAGGCATACAAATGTTTGGATGCCTTAAAATGGAATATTTCCAAGACATTCTACGTCTTGCTTCATGGGATGAAGATTCATAGAAAAGTAATTCCACCAAACACGTTGTGGACATAGGTATATCAGATAATACGAAAATTTTTTGCGACAAAGGGAATGTAAAACATCAAGCTCTAATAAAATATTGATGTTCTAAAACAATAAAACAAATAATCAAAACTTTAAGTGTTTGATGCGGCAGCTTGTACTTTGTGTTTTTGAGACCGTTTTGTTCTGCTCCAAATGTAAATGAAATATAATTTCATTCAATTCCTCAGAAATTCTTTCATTCTTTTAATTAAATTCTGTAAAGGTTACTGGCAGTTTCCGAGGCAAAAATTTTAAACCATTATTCGCTTGAAAAAATGTTTGTAGGTAAGAACTCGACAAATTATGTTCATTTGAAAAACAAGTGCATGATTTTGGTCAATGTTCTTCCAAATCAATGGCTCGGCCTATGACTTCAGTCCTGCGTTCTCCCGGTTTAAATCTATTAGACTTTTATCGCTGGGAAAAAAAGAGGAACTTGGTTTATTTGACTCCTATTGCAACTAGGAAGAAAATTTGTTTTATTCCGATCAAATAAGAGACAATGGCAGAAAGACCAGGAGTCAGTTTTTTGTCAGGAGAAATTTCAATGTTTTTTGTATAACATCACATAAAGGGTGTTTTTTAGAAGTTTTAACTTCGAATAATTTTGATTGTGGTAGCCAGTTTGTAATAATAATGTAATAATAAGTAATAATAAATGAATATATTTTTTTTGATAACTAATATACGTGCAATGGGGGTTAATTGACGGGAAAGACAACCACCATTTTTATATGTGTAGAAAGTTTCGTGCAGCTCCCTCTTCAGAGTCAGTGAGGAGGGTTTTTTGAAAATATCTTCGTGCACTTTGAACTGGCAAACCGAACACATCCCATTTTCTCCTAAGCTACATTGAAAAGGGCACACCTCCTTTCATAACTGTGCAAAATCTCGAGGAAATCCTTCGTCAGGTGCAATTAGCCCGAATTTTTCAAAATTGGTTTTTGCGCCATGAACTGTCAAAGTGAAAACATCTCATTTGCTCTTAAACTAGAACAAGAAGAATAATATTGAAGTTTAGTAATCTGGAAAAAGCACGCCTATCTTTCGCCGAGAGTTTCGAGAAAATACCTCTTCAGGGTCAGCACGTCCTCTTGCATCGTAAAGAGGAAAAATTGAAACATTTCAGTGTCTGCTAAACCAGAGCAAGCAGGAAAATAAAGTGTAGCTATTAACTGAAAATAGCGCATGTTTGTGTTTGGTTGAACGTCCTGACAGTTTCGAAAACATTTCTTCAGGTTCAATTGGGAGGATTTTTTGAAAATATTCTCTTGCTCCATGAAGAGAAAAAATGCAAATATTTGAGAATCTACTAAAACATATGAGGTAGAAAAATAAAGTGTATTCGACTGAAAAGAGCACACTTTTGCTTGAATGTGTGGAAAGTTTCCAAAAAAGTCCTCTTTGGGTTCAATTAGAAGGATTTTTTGAGTATTTTCTTTTGCACCATGAAGAGGAAAATTGAAAACATTTGAGTATCTGCTAATCCAGATCAGATAGAAAAATAGAATTCACTGGTCTGAAACAAGCACTTTTTCTCTTATAAGAGCGGAAAGGTTCGAAAAAAGCCCTCTTCAGGTTCAGTTTGGAGGATTTTTTCAAAATGTGCTCTTGCATTATTAACAGGTAAACTAAAAACCAGATTATCTCATAAACCGGAGCAGGCAGAAAAATAAAATATACTACGCGGAAAAAAGCCGACTTCCTTTTGTAAGTGTGGAAAGTTTCGACAAAATCCTCATCAGATTCAATTTGGAAAATTTCTTTAAAACTTGCTTTGCACCCTGGAGAGGAAAAGTGGAAACATTTGAGTGTCTGCTAAATCATAGCAGGCAGGAAAATAAAGTGTATTAGACACAGAAAAAAGGACACTTTTACTTGAAGATGTAGAATGTTTCGAAAAAATCCCTCCTCAGGTTCACTTAGGAAGTTCCTTTAGAAAATTCGCTTTTGCACCATAAGGAGGAAAATCGAAAACATTTGAGTACGTACTAAACCAGATAGAAAAATAGAATGCACTGGGCTGAAACGACCACTTTGTCTCTTATACAGGTGGAAATTTTAGAAAAAATAGTACGCCACATCAACTTTTGAAAACGGAAAAAACCTATTTCGAAAATTCTCAACGACTACGTGACCAAACAAAACTGCTCATTAGATAGTGTCTGGCTATAGTTTACTGCATTATTCGTAATTGAACCAACCCAACCAAGCAACAAATTCCAAGAAAATACATTAAAAAATTTGTTGCTTAGTTAGAAAGTTAGATTACTTTAAACTTTGCCAGCATAAGGTGCATTATTTTTTTATACTGAGTGTAGATTGCCACTAAGCCCAGATATTTAATAGTGGACGATTAAGACAGTAAGTTTGCGAGTTTTTGAAGACGCTTGTATAAAAGCATCATCTAATTCTTCCAATCTTGATTCCAAATGTATAAACATTTGTTACTAGAAAATAGTAATTGTTTATGTTTATATATTTTCTATATAGTTGATTTTGATTTTTGAGATACTACTGAGTTAAATGTGTGCCCATTAAATATATGCCCCCCATAAAAAAGTGCTTACATTAGATACTTGTAGAATACGCTGCCAGATTTATTATAATACCAACAACACTGCGACTAAATATGTGCATTATTTTAAATACTGCATAATTCAGACAACATTTCAAATTGCTGAACCGAAATTTGCCAGATCTGTAGATATATATTTTAGGTATACTTAAAACAAACAAATTAAAGCTGGTTCGGTAAAGAAGACTTTCTCATATAGCATAGCCAAGATTTGTTATAGTGTTCTAAACTTATATTAACATTAAAAAATAGTTTTTAATGTTAGTTTAGTTAGTTAGTTTTTAATAGTTAGTCGTTAGCTACTATTAATCAATAATTACTTTTTGAATAGTTTATTCCGCGTGTTTTGTTAAATTTTACTTCAAAAACATATATGTTTAGCACATTCTAATTTATCAAGGAAACGACCAGCAACAATTTTCTTATCAAATAAATTACCCACCCGCATATATATTTTCCTCTATTATTCCATCCATGTTAAACGGCTTGTGATTCACTAGAACTTACACAAAGAAAACACCACCGATCAAACACCCCTCAGCAATCGGAATAAACTAATATTACTAAGAAAGTTATTTAATGTAAATCAGTTAGGCAAATAAGACGCACTCTAAATAATCCATGTATTTATGCTGATCTGATCTAAAGTGATCTCGACCAAGTACAATGGAAATTATGAGGACATCAATTCATCATTCAATTAGTATTTGTACATGAATTCGCAAATTGATTGAATATTGCAAATGAACATATAATAAAACAAGGCAATATATGTAACGCCTTATAAGCACAGTTAAGATAAGCCGTACTTTATCTCAATTTTCATTTTTTTGACTAATATACTTTATACGTATTTTTGTTTATTTTCCTGTGCGTAATACATTATGTGATGTTGAATTTGTTCATGGATGATAAACGGCTTAGACCAAAAATCCAATTTTAATTCCAAGTAATGTTATACCATTAACCTGTCGAATTAAGCTGCCGTTAACAGATTAACATACGAAAAAATGAAGGCGGAACTATTTTAAAGTAATTTCAAAAATTAATTTTTAAAGCAGTACTTTTAGGAATGGGTTAGTAGAAAAAAATGTTATTAGGTTTAGGAAATATAGGCCATATAACAATAATAAAGGATGAAAAATATGGCAAACCCCTTCCGACAGCCACGTCATCATCAGGGTTGCTAAAAAGAACAATCAAACAAGAAAGTACTTCGGGTAATACCCCACAAGGGAAAACCCCCTTTAATTGGAAAAATTAACAACAATAATTGTTTTAACATTTGAACGTTATGACTGCAAAAATGGTGTAAAAACCCAGCTAAACTGGTATTAAACAACATTCCTATCCTAAAGATGGTATCCCTGGCAATTCAAATCCAGCCTATTCCATCTATCGTCGAGTGAAGGCCTCCCTTAACATCTGCCATTCTCCTCAGTTATTGGTTTTCCTTCTCACGTCTCTCCAAGTCGTGTCCTGCGAGTCTTTTTATGTTTTATGTACTTCTTTTGTTTTTCCATTGTCTCTGCTTTATCATCCTTCGCGTCCATCTGTTGTTTGCCATTCAGCATCTTTAACTTTTGTTCGTCTTCTTATTTCTGTGTTGGTAATGCGGTCTTGTATTTAGTTGGATGTTTAGGATTAATCTTTCCATGGCTCCTTGTGTTACTTGTAATCTACCTATTTATAATATTCATGTTTGGTGACCAGGTCTCTGTTCCATAAGTGAGGAAAACAAAGTAGTAAAACGTGTTTGCGTCCATTTTGGTATTGCTTGTCAAAATACAATATATCTACGAATATTAATAATATACGAAAAATATCATATGAAACATGAAAGTGTCATAGCTACAATTAGGAAATAATTATTGACAAATTGAACGAAAGAAAACTAGTAAACAGTAAATTCGTAGAAAATGATATCTAGCAATCAACACCGCCTGCTTCATCATAAACTTCTAATTTAAAGATAAATGTTTCAACAAAAATGTATAGTTTCGGAAAATCTGCTTTAAGTATTATTTTTTAATTGATTGGTTAATCATGTACACCTCTATTCTAAGCTATTTTCGTTATTTTCACAAAAATGAATGTGTTGCAGCAACTGTACTTGTATGATTAATGTAACTGTTCAATTTGGGTACAAAAGGTACTTAGTGGAAGCATAACGAGAACCATACTGACGCGAATCAGTTAACATAAAAATACTTTTTAAGATCAATTGTAATATTTATCACATCAAAAACAAATTGTTTAACGAGATAATCACCATCAAGTTTATTAATCAGGTGCATCAATCTAACTAACATGTAAAAGCTTTTATTTTTTTTTAAATACACACCATTTTATTACATAAAACAGGATGTTTACCTACATTATAAGAACTAAATTATATTTCAATCAGTATTTTTTAATTTCATTTCGGTTTTTGGCATTTACTCCCACAAATAAATGGATCTGTTAAACAACCCATAAAACGAATTATAGAGCGATACAGTTCAATTTGTTTTTATTTCTAAATCTAGTTGATATACAGAAAGTATATGGGATTATGGCATCACTCCCTAGCAAATACTCGGAAGGATTTGTCTAAATTCCAGTTTATTTAGTAAAAGTAAATCCACTTCTGGGCAGAATAAGGCTTAACAGATATAATTAATCAATAATTTTCTTTGCAAATTGATCCCGATATCTTATTGGTAGCAAAATCCCAACTATCGTCTTTATTGGCATCTGTGACGAAGTAATTTAAGAAGAAGGAATTTAAATTAAATAAGATTAATTATTTTTTTCATTATGATGTTAATGATGCTCAGAACAGTTCGAATTTGTCCACAAAAGTCGCCTCAATCCACCATCTTGATAAAGGCAGTCTTCTCAGAGCGCCGGTCTTCTTCAGGAACCGATTTGGGGCCGATCCTGTTCTTATTGTTAGTCAGCAGTCTTTCGAGGACGGATTCATCTGGATTTGTAGGTCAGTATATGGAAGGGACGTCCGTCATGGAGTCTGGGAGGAGCTGTGCATAGGATGTATGGCCGCAGCTCAGGGAATGATTGAGTAGTACACCAACAGAAACGTTTTTTTTTTCGGTGAAGTTTAGGAAATGATCTGTTATGCACAGCCAGAGCTGGTAATCTGCCGCTCTGGGCTGCGTGGGACTGCAGCTAAGCTTTTTGCCCACTAAACGGTTGATTTCACAGCTTAAAGTGTAAACTCAAATTTGTAACTTTGTAAATTGTCTATCTAATGACGTATTAATATACAGGTACTTCCATTTGAAAAACAAAAGTTATATTGCGTTGAAAATTTTAGATTGAAGTCCACATTGTTAACACCCTGTATAATGTATTGATATTTTGGTTCAATAGAATTCTTAACAGATCTGTTGTGATTGGAAAGACGTATTTTTTGTATCTTTAACTTCTTTTCTTGCCTCTACAATGAATTTTTACATACCATGTTTTTAAACAAAGTTTTACTAAAATGGCGATAATCTGCCAACGTCGCAAGTAAGAAAATATCAATTTGCGGTGCATATGCAGCGTTTCAAGCTGCATTCTATGAGCGAATGAAAAATGTGTAGTTCTATTTAAAAAAATACACTTTGATCTTGCCTCGCTTTTCTGAGACACTGTGTACCATATAAGATATTTTTAAAATATACGCACTTTGTGCGGCAACACCTTTTATATGAAACTATTTTTCGAAAGTTCAACACCAACGGAAATAATGAACTCTCTCGTACTAAAAAACCACCCTGTATATAGAGCGAACAACTAGTAACAACTCAGTAAAAAGCATCTGCAAAAATTGTATTCTTAAACGTTAATTAATTTTTAAGTAAAAACTAGTTCTTTTAAACATTTTCGCATATTTTCTTTCGCAGTTTTTTTGTTACAAGTTTTTGTTTTGTTTTGTTTTGTTTTAAGTAGTTACTTCTGACCCATGTTTTGTTTTTTATTTTAGAATATTTCATTTTAAATTTACCAATGCTAAACACAATTTTTTAAATAAACTAAATCATTATGCCTTCACTACTATCATTATTAAAAGTAACATGTTCCTTTTGGAACCGCATTTTGAAACCTATTATTAAAGTGAAATTGGAACGTTGAACCTGTTACAGAAAAATAACCGTTTATCACACCTCTAGTTCGCTGGACAATTGTTTTTGATTTTGTTGATATTAAACCGCCCTTCCTTCAAAATATCTTCACTATTAGTTAATCGCAAATAATTTAAAGTTTCTATTTATGTGATCAAATACATTTGAAGCAACCACATTATGCATGAAAACTGCACTATATTTACAGCACAATTTCCAACTTGTCTGTTTATCGGCCATGTTAGTTCCATCCAATCAGAGGAGCTCTTGACTTGTCGCATATCAATGGACAACTATTAACCTATCTGAATTTTATTTAAAAAAGTACGTTTTCGAGTAATATCTATTTAGTTTAGCAGTAGCCAAGTTAGTTGCCAAACGGAAGCTACATTCGTCAGCATATGAATTTGTCAAAAGATGTAGGTAAGTACTTCGGCCGTCATGTGAACAATGGGCAAGGAATCTCTCGATTACCTATCTACAGTTTCCCTTTGTTCAACATACCTAACAGATTCAATTATGAATGAAGTGATTAATGTAATCAACGCGATTAGATTGGAATTCACAAAAAGCTTGCTACTTATTTGAAAACAAATTTCAACGACTATTTTCTAATACGCTACGAGGTCAAAATTAAATAGATAAAAGGGTACACGCTCCACTTTTTCAATAATTTATTCAGGAATTTTAATAGCCTAAACACGTTATTTAATTTTTACATTAATCTGAATGAACTTCTATTGGCCGTTAGTGGTACTACTATTTACTAACTAACAATGCAAAAAACTTAAAAAAAACTCTTCAGATCGAGTTAGACATACTCTCTCTGCTTTTCTCAAATACAAACCAATAAACATTTCTACCATCGGCTAATTTAGGTTGACAATGAGAATGATAAAAAGGATGAAACACTTATTGCCTCGAATTTAACGCTTACGAACAAACTTCCTTATCTCAATGGCCTAAGTTAGTGTGGCAATACTCAATTATTCAAAAGAAATTCCTGGGTTCCAGTCAATTTTATTGTTTACCATTTAAAATGTCACAAAAACGTTTCGGTGTTTTTCTCCACCATCATCAGTTTGTCTAAAATATACATTCGCAGTCGTTATTAGTTTAAAAGAAGAGCTCTGTTAAATATACATATTAAAATACAAATTACAAACATATTAAAAAGTATATATTATTAGTATATTGTAATTTGTATTTTAGTATGTATATTTAACAGAGCTCTTCTTTTAAACTAATAACGACTGTGAATGTATATTTTAGACAAACTGATGATGGTGGAGAAAAACACCGAAACGTTTTTGTGACATTTTAAATGGTAAACAATAAAATTGACTGGAACCCAGGAATTTCTTTTGAATTAAGTTGAAATACAGTCAGGAAAATATACACAATGAATACTCAATTATTTAAATTGAACTGCTGGTTATTTACATGGTGGAAAAATATTAAATTATTACTAAACATAGTAGGCAAGGACCCGGACCGAAACGAAATAACTGTTCTGTGCCGGTTTCGGTCCAAGGCAAAATTTAAAATTTCGGTTCCGTTACGGTTTCGGTTTAGAAAATAATTTCCAATTCGCTTCCGTTCCGGTTCCGGTTTTTTTTCGGTTCATTTCGGTTCCAAAATCTATATATAACAACGAACGAGGACAAAGATACTCTAATTAGGAATCTCACTATCTTTTTTCTTGCTTGTTGTATTATACAAGATGAAAGATGCGCAAACGATCSACTGCTTCATACGGTACTTCGGCTGGTTGTATGGTAGGGGGTAGGAGTGTAASAGGACTAGCAACCCCACACAAGGATTGAAATTCAGGTAACATTAAATGGAACAACATTGCAATAAAGACTCCCATACAAAAATTAATTTAATCGTATTTTTGAAAAGTGATTTGTCAATTAATTTTCTGACTTTAGCGCTTTTCTCTTCTTTCCGTTTTCACTCAGGTCCACAACTTCGTCAATTGCTCTTCTTTCACTCTTATTTCCTTTTAAACATTGTTCTTCCTGGTTCATGTCTTCACCATCTTTTGAGGAGTTGCTTTTGTCCAATATTTCAATTCCAAATGTTGCTTTGTTGGTAATCGAAAAACTAAAATAATTCAACTTAAAAAATAATTTTAAAAATAGTGTATACACGTATGGTGTTTGTTCTTTTCGATTGAAACGTGGGTTGGTCCTCACAAATAATTGTTCCTCTAAAATTCAAACGTTACAAGCAGAACCGAAAAAACCGAAATAAAATATTTCCGGTTCAGCACCTAACAGTGTGTTAATATCAAATATAGGTTCCGTTACGGTTCCGGTCCAACAAAAAAATCGGTTCCGTTCCGGTCCGGGTCCGTGATAGTAGGTAAGCAGTAGTTTTCGATACAAGAGCAAAAAGTGTCGTTTTTTGGAAGGACGACGGCGTTTTCAATCCGAGAGGAAGTAGAGTGAGTAAACTGTGTAAAAACAGTAAACTGTGATTGACCAAAAATTTTTTACCAAATGATTTTAAAGAGCGACTTATATTTTTACTGCTAACGCTACTATTGCGAATTGCGTGTAGTGATCATATGTTGCACATGTGGCGCGACAAAGGAACGGAACCAAAGAAAATTATTTTGTTCTTTAATGGGTTACAGCTTGCATTCACACGTTCCTATGATCCACAATTTTATTGAGACTGTCAGGAAGCTACTACAGTATGCACCCTTCATTAGTCGTATTTTGATTGTGTTTCGGTAACCTGATTGTGTATTTTTTAAATAATTTGCTTAAAATACGCTTACTGAATCTATTTTATTAATTTTTTTCGAACTGCAATTGCTTATTATGTTTTGTGCGAAGCTACAGAAAATTAGGTTTTTGTGGAATTTCTTTTCTGCATTAGATGATAATTTTGCAAAATTCAATATAATTATATTAAGCAAAGCAAAATGATCTAAGCAAGTACGTTGAATTTAAAACGGCACATGAAATGCAAACATCACACAATATCAATAAATTCGAAAACATTTTCCCTAAGATTCTGAGGGAACTTTTTAACAGGTAAAAAACAAATTAAAAGAGCATTGAACGTTCAATAACGTGTCCCAAATTTGGACATGGGGAAGGAGCATGATTTTAGCCACTTATTCTGGGTCCGAAATTGACTGTAGTCTGCTACATAAACGATAGCCCAAAAATGCTACGTTAGAGATTTACAGGGTATTGAGATTTAATTGAAAAAATGCAAAATGGCAAAGTTTTTGAAAACGCATTGCGATATTTTTACGTAATTTTACAGATATCAATAGCAAGAGAAGGTGCATGATTACCAATAAACTAATTTTATTAACTTTTGCCAATTAAAATGGTGTGCGTTAAAGGACGCTCGACAGAGAAATCGTAAACTATTTATCTTGTTTAACGCATGATGGTAATACTAATTTATAATTTCCGTATTCTTGTTCGTCAATAATTTATAAATGGACGAGGAATAGTTCTTTGGTTGCGTTTTCGGCTGAACTGCGTTCGTCAGAAATTGTGCGAAAAGGGGCGACTGATCCGATTTCATTGCAAAGTGCTAAATGACCTACTATAACAGTGTGTAAGTCAATCAACGTATTGGAGTTCGCCCGTTAGATTCGAAGTCGTCCGTATGAATTCGGACAAATATAAAAATACAACAAATAACCTGAAAGAAGACATGTTAGTAGATCAAATTTCCGACGACTAGCTTCCAACTTAAGGAGTACGTTTCATTTACAAAACTTAATAAAACCTTTCAATAAAGAAAAAGTTATACCAAAATAGTAATTCAAATAAAATGCCAGCACCACACTAAAGCCAGAAAAACAAAACAAAAAAGTTGTAGACAAGTTCTAAATTGTTGAGGCGGATTCATTTTTTTACAAACTTCTTGTTGGGTATTTCGCCTCAAGAATTTTTGTCTTTAAAAAAGACAGAATTTGCTCACGTCTTTCATTACAGATTGATAAATAATAATAAAAGACGTGAGGAATAAGTTCGTAAAAAGTTTACAATAAGTTTGTAAAAAAAAACAAAAAAGTTTGTAATAATTGTTCCAAAACGGTAATTATTTTTTCTACCGTTGAATACAACCCTGGATACTAGACCTGGAGTTGCGAAATTAAATTCATCAGTAATTGCCCTCAACAGTTGGTCTTCATTATCAAAATGTTGAAAGTAAACTTGGTTTTTAATGTAACCCTAAAGGAAGAAGTCTACTGTGGGGTCAAGTCTGGCGATCGTGCTGGCCAGAAAACGTCATCATAAGTTCCGATCGATCTTCCTGGAAACTGTTGAGGCAGACTCGACGGCTCACGAGTTTTTTTAGGCAAATTTTCTAATGGCAGAATATCTAACTTTCTTCGAAGTGATTTTGTATTGTATTTTTATTAAACAATATAATAATATTGAATTACCACATGTTTTATTAATTATATTATTATAATCAGTATTTTATGAGACTACAGTGTGTAACAATAATTTAGGTTCACCCGCTTTTTTGCCCTTAAGTCAAAAACTATCAAACCAATTGAGCTCATCTTTGTAGAAAATTGGATACATATGACCAGTAAACTTCCGGCGAAATGTGATTTAGACAGCTTATCTTTCACGTTATAAAAAAACTTTATAAAAAACACAATCTTTTTTATAATGTACGGAAAAATCGTACGTTTTTTCGTCGATTTGTTTTCGTTTTACCGTGTTATTTGTACGTTGTTAGAGCATAGAAAGGGAATAGCATTAAATGGCGACGAGAAAGGTAGAGTTGAAATGCTTGGCCGTCCTCTTAACGTGAAAAATTTGTATGATATTTGTATATTGATATGTATGTATTTGTATGAATTTTATCAGTGAACCTTAATCATTGTTACGGTCTGAAAATCCCTACATTGGAAAAAAAATTGTACGTTTGAGAGTAAAACTGTTTAAATCACATTTTGCGACAAGTTTACTGGTCATATGTACCTTGTCTTAAAAAGATGAGCTCATTTGGTTTGGTAGTTTTTGAGTTAAGGCCAAAAAAGTGGGTGAACTTAAATCATTGTTACAGACTGTACAAACAACATAGACTTGGCTACAGGGAGCCCTGAGGAGGGCTTAAATATACTCGAAACGTTGGCCCATGAAAAATAGTGTTTCATTTTTCGCCACCTATCAATCTATTGACCGATAAACCCATAGATCTAAATAGGCATCATTTACCGTAAAGGTCACTATAATAAACCATATCTTTTATAAATGATGTTCCATACTCCATTAGGTGTAAGAGGTAATACACAAATTAATGCTTGATATCTTAATCATATAAATGTATAGCTAGTCCAATACTCCATTGCGCAGCTGGTAAAAACGTTATTTTATTTGTGAAGCACTGCTATTGGTTCAAAAACAACTTTTAATAGGGAACAGCTCAGAATTACGAAAAAATCAAAGCACCTCAAAGAAAATATCGGGGGCGGCTGTTATCGATATGTTGTTTTCCTTGTATGTTTATTGCTATTTGTACAATCAAGGTTTCATCGGTTCGAAAAAGGAACATGTCCCACTCCCATAGATACAAAACCTTATCACTACATAGGAAAAAATCAGGCCAGTTGAGACTTCTGAGCTTGTCAAACTTCAAAACTTTATTGTACTGGGACCAGCATAGTATGCGAGCGCTTCTATTCTAAATAACATTTTATTTTATATATTGGAAACGTCTGAATTGTTCAGTATCGATATCTCTGTCATCCTTAATGTTTGGTCCATTTTATACCTTAACATTTTCATAAAGCACATTATCTCACACCCGGGAATGGTACTCAAAACCAGTAGAATAATATACTCTGAAGTAAAACCGCAGCGTCACTGTTTTGGTGAATTTTAAAGCACGCCAAACCTCTTAGAATAAATGCGTAAACAATGATACAATAAATCAATTGTTTGTGACGACAATACTTTATCCAAGTATCTAAATCAGATAGATTTACTCAGTTATATGACCGAAAATAAAATTGATAATTCATATAATGCATGAAATATTCAGATGCACAGTTCGTATACTAATTAAAAAAGGCTTTATCATATAAGTCTGCATACAGATATGCATATTTCAGAATACGTTGCATGCAGTCTCGCAGCTATAAATTGTAGGGATTGTCAGTTAAAATGGGTTTAAATGGGTACAACCCCTAAAAAATGCTTGACAGATTTAACAACCATTATTTATTTCAGTAATTATCAACGATAATTAAAAATTCTATGTTACACAATCATTTAATAAAACTTAAATAACTATATTACACAGACATCATGGTGACCATTAGGTTGAGACTTATCTATAAAGTCGAATCAAGTCTTTTAGTGCATGCGTCACAGATTTGGATGAATTTGACCTGCAGACAAATAGAAGTATAAGTTTCAGTAATCAACCAATTTTCACTCGTATCTATTGACTTTCAATATGGTTGTAGAACATTCTACAAAGGAGAGTAACTACTCACCTGATTAGGCTCACGTGGATGTCATTTAATTGTGCTGGAGTGGCTGTTAGTAATCCTCCATTATTTTGTTTCGGCAATGTATCCAGACCACTAACAATCCATCTACTTGCTTCTTCTCTTGTAAATTCAAGCATTTCCACAAAAACATCGCCAACCTGCATTACATTGTATTTAAACAAATATGAAATCTATAGGTCAACTTTGAGATTTTTCAGACAAAGATAGATCGTAAAAAGATTAACTAAATTCATATTCGATAATCCATAAAGTTTAATATACTATTTACCTCCGAAAGCATATAAGTATGTAAGTAAAATACACAAGCCTGCAACAAAGAAGTAACCAGTTGCTGTCCGAATTGATCTAAAATGCCCTTCACCAGCTCTCGCCTTTCCATAAAGTCTGGGGCTGAATGAGCACTCTGACCCTGATATATCAGATCATGAAAGAACTTCATTACAGCTGCGTTTGCATCTTTGTGGTCGAGACAGGAAGCAAATAAACCGCACTGAATAATTGGTAAAATAGCGGCAGACCTTAGGAATGGAACTGGGGCACGTCGAACAAACCGTCCAGTCAACCTGCAAACAGTTTGAAAACATTTTGAGTTAATTTTAAGACAATATTCGGTATTGAAGATGCGATTTCAACTTTGCTATTAAGCAATATTTTAAAGTACTTTAATAGCAGTTTGACGGTGTATTTGATAGCAGTATAGACTAACACATAATACATTTTTTTTTCTTTATAGAAAATTTTAGTTTACTAAATTTTTTTTACTAAATTTAAAAATTTTAGTTTATGAAAAAGTCGAGTAAAGATTTGAGGAGAAAGATGTCGTTCATGTCACCGATAGGTTTATGGGTCGATATTGTGACTATTCAGAATTTAAACTGTATAACGTTTACAAAAAAACCTGTGTGTGCCGTATACCGTATAAAAAGTGAAAGTAGTGGAGGAAGGCCTGATGTCAGGACTCCTAAGCTACGATTAAGAGTGCTAAATTTGATAGAAACAACATCCATTATTAAACATTATTTATGAAACCGAAAGTTTCTTATGAAGTGAATAGGTGCCTTTACACTTACACGCTCTTATCGTGTGCAATCGGAAAAACGCTAGTCTTCGTACGAAAAAGAAATACTGGCGTACCCACTGTACGCGTTGCACTTTGAAACCTACAGACTTTGCGTTGCGGTAACGAACAGCAAACTTTAGCACAATTTTTTGAACATCGTGCTTTTTGAGCGGGTAATATCAGAGAGGTATCAAATCTTTGGTATTTTGCTTAGAAATAATTCGTGAAACTAAATCCAACAAAGTTTTGAAAGTTTTACAGTCCATACAAAGATAATTTTTGAAGTCGTCAGGATAGTACTGTCGTAATTCATTTATTAATGGCAAATGCCCATATTAATTACGATCTTCCCTCCATTTTTTCACCCAGTTTAGGTGCCTTTACACTTACGCTCTTATCGCTCGGTGCGGGAAGAACGCGCGGCCGACCGTCTCGTTCAAAAGTTGGCAAAGATCGTGGCGATCCAAGACGTAACGTTCTAATCAACTCTTTTCACACGTGCCTTGCATGTGAGATGACACGCTTCCGAGTATAAAGCCAAAATTGGCCGATATCGTGCGCGAATTGCGTGCCTCGTGGAGCTTTTCGGCGGTAGCATAGTCGATCTTCGGCACTTTGCCGGATATTGTTTTGGCCGAATAAGAGCGAATGCAAAGGCACCTAATGTGATGTTATGTGTAGTCCCGAGATAAATTAGGAATAAACAACCCATGAAATGAGTTGCTTGCAAATAATGTAATGAGAGTAGACATTGAAAAACAAGTTATGTATATGTTTGCTGCGGGAGCTCAATTAAAAAACAACAAAGTGGCGAATTTACATTTGGACCAGTAAAATGATCACTTTTTCTATTTTCCTCTAGGCTCAACACTTAACCGTGCTGATTTACGGATAAAGCAGCAGGAATCTAAGCAATTTTAGTCAGAAAACATCGTTTGTTGCAGTTCGTATTAAGTATCCATATACAAGGTGTCCGGTTTTGGAGCGCAACCACGGAGATCTCAATAACCATACCAGATACCAGATTGGTTAAATTGGGGCAAAGTTGCGAAATCTAGAGCCTATTAAAATCTTCACTGAAATTTTTTAAATATTTCTGCTACTTCCGGAGATTCGAAAAAGTTTTTAATTTTTCCTTAGCTTATTGGATGCGTAAATGTAAAATGAATAATACTTTTTTTCTTATGAACGCCGTTTGGGATTTTTACATGTTTGAATTCAGCTTTTCATCTGATTACGATGATCATGTTAAGAATTATGTTATTAAGAATCATGTTAAGACATTTTAAGGTTCAGTCTTGTTGTTTGGTAAAAATAAGAAAAATTATGTTTTTGCAAAAAGTGCTTTGGAATAACACCCACTCTTTTGTTTTATCGACAGATTTGACACGTTAGAGTTTCTATATCTGTTTAAGTAGGATAAAAAAGAAAAAAAAATGTGTATTTTAAATTTAAACAGGATTAAACTAAACTTTGAGAAACCAGTAAATTTAGAAAATTATCAGAGGGACTCGAAGGGTTTACTCTCCACTTCCAAGCACAGATCTATGCGTCTTCTCAAATTTTGAACTGTCCCCCTTACAAACAAAATTGACGGGACTTTCCGATTTTTCATATTTTTAACTGCAAGAAAGATATTTAGGGTGGGAAGTTTTCAAATTGACACCCGGTACGATGCACATGTGGCCCGGTAAAAGAACAATCACAAATATTTTGTTCGTTATTGAAAGCTTGCATTGACGGGTTCCCTTGAGCCTGGATCTTATTGATATTTTCGCGAATCGTATGTCAGTATGCACAATTCATTAGTCGTATTCTGATTGTGTATCGGTAGCCTGTTTGTGTATTTTAAAAATAATCTTCTGGGAATACGCTAATTGTTCCTGTTTTGTTCATTTTTTCAAAAAGAAATTGTTTATTATGTATTGTGCTAAGCGAAGGAAAATTCGTATTTTTTGAATTTATTTTCTGAATTAGACGATAGTTTTGCAAAATGCAATTTATGTAAATGTAATAACAAGTATGTCGAATTTGAAACGGCACATGGAATGCAACGTCTCACAATATCAATAAATTCTGAAAATTTTCGCGAAGAGTAACGTAGTAATATTTTTGTACCCATTTTCACTCAAATAGTTTTTTTTTTCAGCTGAAAAATAAAAATAAAATATAGCTTGTTCATAAAGAATTAAGAGCTACATATGATATTCTTTCTGTGTAAAACAATAGTTATTTTGTTCTTTTTAGAGTACCTTGGTTTACAAAATGTGTAGCCAGTTGCTAGTTGGAGAGACTGTTATTTTTTAGTGTTCTTAAAATTATTTGTACTTTAACTATAAATCATTATTTGTTGTATACTTAAATAAGGTTATTTAGTTAAAAAATATGAATTACAAATGTTTTAAAATTGTGCCTGCAAATCAATTGCCCATCACCTTATGACGCTGCTATATCACGAAAACGGCAACCACAAGTGAAATCACATTCACAGGTTAAATTCACAGTTAAAAAAGCCACATTCACAGTTATAACAGTGATTTTAAAATCACGCTTTAGCTCATCTCTAATAGATAAATAATTCTATCGTAGCGGAGTGCAAGGCTCCAAAAATCGTAAAATACATTTTTAGCTATTTATATTTGATTGCAACTGACTAAATACTGTGAAAATTCCAGAAGAAAAATACTGTTTATTGACTCACCGGAAAAAATCATCTACAGTGTCCGGATGGTTCTTTAAACCATCCATGGTTTCCAGCATATGGAATGTAGGCTTTATAAAGGCCTGAAAAGAATTCCGTATTAAAATAATATGTTAGTTACATAATAAGTTAAATTGTCACCTCTAACATATCTAGAAGACCTCCGACACACTGTGGGTTGCTGGCATATTCATCTACTAATATACTGCCAACGTATAGGAAACAGGAATGTTTGTATTCACAATAAATTCCTGTTATTTGGCTAACTAAGCCTTCCAGCACTTCACAAACCTGAAATAAAAATTTAAAAAACTTGTGTTATGTACGAAACAGATATTTTTTCAGCTAGGAAGCAAATAGTAGCTCCGTTTGATGGTCTCTTAAAGTTATAACTCCTAGGCAACCGTAGTAAAAACGAATTCAGTATACCAAACATAATCGAAAAAAAATATGTTGATATTAACTGAGAATAAATTCAATACAGGGTGCGGCATAAGAACTGTCTTTTTTAAAGATCAATAAAAAAGTACTCAGTATAAATTATTATTTCTTGTGTTAACATTTTATACTAACATGGAAATTTATTAATTATATTTAAAAAGTACATTTAATAACTGTCGATTCATATCAATACATTCTTGCAACAGTCTCCTGAAGTGTCTGCCGATTCTCCAACCACTCTCCGAGCCACCGGTATGTTGGCAACAGCTTCACGGATATTATTCTTTAAATATTCCACGGTTCGAGACGGTTTACAAACACAAGCGATCTCAGGTATCCCCACAGGAAATAATCGCAGGGAGCCAAATCAGGAGAGCGCGCGGGCCTTGATATGTCACTTCTGTGCTCACTATGGAGCATTTACCAAGAACGTCTACGGGGACCTTAACCTTGATCGTTGCACTCTTTCAATGTTTGTAGGCGTTCTAACGGAACGTGGTCGTTCTAATTTTCGCTGGTATCCATTGCTCTGTGTCCTAAATATCGGTGCCCATGATAAAATTGATCCTCGAGTAGTAACACAATCCCGAGGTGGTACCTTGTAGCGTAAACTAAATTCTGTTGTATGCTAAAATTGATTTTCCGCTTGAAAAAAACGTCTCGACGGCAAAAGCGCGTTGCTGCTTCGGCCAAAGCATTTTTACGACTAAAGACGGTTCCGTAACAAACTTTCCTCTACTCTTCCTTTTGTAATGTTTCGCAAACCTGGTACTATTCACCTTAACCCTATTTGCCTTCTTAAAAAAATACAATTCTTATACCGCACCCTGTATGTTTTGAAACTAGCATATATTAACAGCTGCATAAAGTTACACAGATGAGAACATTTGCAGACTAAGAGAAAAATAACAACTTACATGTTGACTTGCACATCTTAGCATAAATCTTACACTTTTGCAAACCGACTCCATTATTCTATCATCTTTCTGATACTTATTAAACGTTTTAGATAAAATAGGCCAAATATCTATAACCACTGGCTTGCACGGGTGGATGTCACCTAAAAAAAACTTCCTACTGGCCTGTGAATGATGAGAAAAGAATGTATTTACCATCTCGAACGCCCGTTATAGAGACATGTCTCATCACAGAACTAAGCCTATCAAGCCACAAAACCGGATCGGATGTCGTGCCTTTAATGGGTACTACGTCTTGGTCAATGAGCTGTATCAGAGGAGTTAGCTGCATAAAGCATAACTCACGAAGTAATACAGTTATTTCAGAATGGGGCATTACGTTTAAAATAGCTGCCACACCTAAAAGTACAAATTCCCATTAAGATAAATTCCATGCTTATAGATGTACAGAGTTATGCCATTTTAGCTTTGCCACTTTCAAATATCAAGAGGTTATTTTTTACCAGATTATAGCAAATATTCAGAATTGTTGTTTTCTTTATGGAACTGTTCCGCAGAGTCGGGTAGATCGAGACATTGCCCAAAATATTAAATGCACAAAATATTTTTTTGCTATGTTTAATTATTTAATTGTAAATATTTACCTTTCAATATGCCGATAACTGCAGTATTAGTGACAGATAATGAATCCACCTGATGTAATAATTGCAGCAGTATCGTAATATGTCTAGTCATGCTTGTGCTACACTTTAAACAAATATTTTGCAGTGCTGATGCGGCTGCAGCTCCTATAAAAACAAATCAGTCGGTTTTTACACATTTGTGGTATAGAATATTTACGAAAATTTACCTAATCCGGGAACAGCTAAACCTTGAACTATAAAATTTAAAATAGGGTCTAAAACTTGAGGATGCTTTTCTATCCATTCTGATAATTCCCCCAACAATAGAACCGATGTATATCTTACAGCTAAATGGGTTGATGATGGACTATTTAATATTGCTTCCACTACCTTTGGAACCACCTCATTTTCAGTCCTAAAATAAAAAATAAATGCCAATACCAACGTATATGGATTCTGAAGACGAGATGGTAATTTGTACAATTTGCGTCAGTTCCCAAGTTAGGAACATGCTGACAGTCTATTCCTGTTGCTCAGAAAAAATGGTGGCAAGTTCTACAGGCTTACAAGATATTTATTTAGTGGTACATGGTTGGGAAGTACTACAGACATTTACAAGCTATTTAGTTTACTAACTAGTTAGTTACTAACTAACTAGTGCTCACAAGCATTCACGAAGCATTAATCATCGCTATGCTTCGGTCTAACTAGAATACATTCATAGTAGTACGTACCAAAGTTTACCGATTACGTGGAGTTAAATAGACGTGGAGTTGATTCGTATTTGCCTCAATACTAATTGGTGTCATTTTCAACCACTTCCAATGTCATTGGACACTTTTACTCAATTTTGAAAATTTGCCCTCCATGAGGGCCTGGACAAACTTTTTGCCCTTCTCCTTGTAGTTGACATAGGAACTTTTTTTTTAACCAACCAAAGCTGATTTGTGATATAACTTTTCCGTATATAACCACCTGACCAGGAATTTCAAAGGAAGGAAAGATTTCGAGAAAATCGCGAAAGTATGGTTTTCAAAAAACTGCAAATATCTCGATAACCAAAAGAGCTGAACTGAACCTAATCAGTCCATTTCGTCTCATTTGAACAAAGCGTACAGATGTACAGATTTTTTCGGCCTAAATAGTTCTTTCTCAATTTGACCTTGACATAACCTTGAGCTTGACCTAATAGAGTCAAACTGGCAGCCGATTTGGGATATAAATAAAATAAAAAAATATACTAAAAAAAAAATTAAAAAAACCCAGATCAAAAAACAAATTTTGGTTGTGTGGTTGTGTAATCTAACAAGAACAATAATATTATAAGACAGAATAAACCTGGATTTATAAACTCTGCAGTTGGTGCCGTTCATCGTTCGTAGTTCGCACTTGCACAATTCGTCCACTCGTTTCCATATTAGGTTTCCATGACGGCAATTAACCAAATTTTATTTCGCCAACCGCTGAGTTTATTTAGTTGGCAAATCAACCAATGACAGAAAGAGTTTCATATCACGTGAGTGACTGACCGTGACATTTGTCAAAACTAGGCCGTGTTTTGTTTATGTTTTGACAAGATGGCAGATCAAGTTATTTTCGTTGAAGATCCAGTCTTTAGCAGCTTGCTAATAGAACGAATTCGAAGAAGAAGAAGAATTATGAACATATTTACAACTGCATCCACACTTTCCATTTTCTCATAATACTGAGTGCCCCTTTTTTGACCTTTGCCTATTCATAGGCCTGACTTTAAACCGCCGTGTTCGACACTTTTTCTTCAATAGCAAATACGAAGACAAAATGTAGCCTGCGTCTCCACATTTTGATATTATAATGGAAAAAGTAATAATTAATGTGTGTAAGTGGATAAACATAACAAACAACATACCCAATATATTAAATCATATGGGCGTACGATTGACAGATTTCTCAATCTGACCAATCAAATTCCAACGTCGCCAACCGCGAACTATTTAATATAAATCATCAAAACACGAACGATGCGTACAACAGCAACAGAAATTGTATGGCAAGTGCACGATCGTCGAACGGCACCAACTGCAGAGTTTATAAATCCACCTTAAGTGTTGGTCCTGATAAGAACCGATTGTTATATACAAAACATTATAAGCATTTCTGCGGATGAAATGCACCTTTGGGATGCATTAGGCGTTATGATTTGGCTTACGGAAATGTTTAAATTTTCTTAACAATGCCTTGTCTTCGACGATTTCCCCAAAATTCAATTAAGCAAAAAGCAGTATATTTCTAATCCTACAATCAATTTCAAAAACGAAAGTAAAACACTTTCAGTGTTTGCTGATGACACTTTACAGGCAACAACAAAAACTTAGTATTTCCTCGGTTCTCATTTCAAAGACCAAATAAAATTTCCAACCTAACGATTTATGTGAAACTATCTATTATATTCATCAAGGAATCACCCATTGATGTTTTTGCATTTCTATAAAACAGCTGTATATACAAAATATGAAAACTTGAATCGTAAATGCTAAATCAAACTACACAAAGTTTAACTTACGGTAAAACATTTTTGGCAACAGCTTGCATTACAAACAAGGCAGCTTCTGTCTGATCCCAAGTAACTCCCGGAGCTTGCGTATTTAAAAACATTTGCTTGAAACAACTATCACTTGCCACGATAAACACTACATCTTTAATCAGTTCCGAGACTTTTTCTCGAAAATCTTTGAATTCGTCTGCGTCATCCAATAGCCCTAAAACATGACAAATATAGTTTCCACTTAATAGATCAAAAGTGTCATGCCTACCCTCACAATCGGGCTCCATTTGACAATGTCTGCAAAGTGCTGTTATCAACCTTTCAATATACGGTTTGAACAGTTCTGTCAATTCTTTATTGTTTTTTTGGTAAAGTTCTTCGCTCAAAACGTACCATAAAGTAAACGTTAATTCGGCAACTTCGTAATGGTGATGTCCAACACACATTAAAATTAAGTCAAACACTTTCACCGCATGTTGGAAATGAGCGGCGCTGTTGCTGGATATAATTTTCTCTAAAAATGATTCTCCTAATTCGGTAAATAACCTGCAAAAAAGTAAATCTTTGAACACCAGAGCTAGAGTTTTGTTAATAGTGACTCACCTGCAATAGTCCACAGATTTGCTTTCATCTTCATTGGCAACTGAAATATGATATGAAACCTCCAATTTCAAAATGTTTGTGAACAAGTAATTTTCTAAAGCTTGTTGATTGTTATTATCTTCAAGAGATTGTAACACAGTACAAATACACTCTGTAGCTGCATCACATAATGCTCCCGAACTTTGTTTGCCCTCATGTGGCTTAAAATCCAAAATATCGAATGCCAAATTCAGTACGACACTATCTGAAAGCCCGTCCAGTACGATGGCTTTTACATACACCCACGATGTAAAACATCTTAATGTTCTAGATATTATATGTGTGTGCTCATTCACGCTACTACCATATACTGTACAACAATGTATTAGGAACTCAAGTATCGTAGGCGCGCAGTGTTTCAGATCTGCTAAGACTTCAGTTCTTCTATTCTCTCCTAAACTATAAGGACTTGAATTGTGCCAACATGCCACAGTTATATTAATATCAGACTTACCGCACTGATCGATTATCTAACTCCTCGGGTAAGACTGTCAATATTTCCAGCAAAGGCCATATATAAGATTGATGAGAAAAACGATTTATTAGATCCAATGGCGCTCTTTGCCAGGACGGCATTTGCAGTATTAAATCTGCTAAGGCTAGACATAACTGAGTAGTTATCACTGTATTTGTTGCTGCAGAAAGAATAAAATATTAGTCTCGTTAGAAGGGCAAGTATGAAAAATCGAAAGCAGTTTTCAAGGCACTCAATATAAAATCTAACCTTCATTGATTTGACTAATATGTTCTAACAAAGAATTTCTGAGAGCCATATGAACTTCCAAAGGGAGCTCATGAAATGACTGATGTATTTTGGTTCTCATAGTTTGAGCAGCAAAATAACACGACTCCAAGTCGGGTTTTTGATGTAAAAGTTCGTCTGCAACTGTCCATGCATGTACCTAGACCAAAAAGAAAAAGATGATATAAAAATAATAATAATCGCCAATTTAGTTCGTTAATTAAAAAATGTTTGAAAATATTGGGAATTCTGAGAAGCTACAAGCTGGAAAATTTTATTTTGCGTTCTTTGAGAATCAAATTATGCGCAATATGTTTGATTAATTATGTATAATTCATATATCGGGGTAAAGACTGCTGTGACATTGTGAGCTTGGAGCTAAGTGCCCTATCATTTCTAAGCAGAATTTCTATGACCAGGAATAAAATATTTATTAAATTTACCATTCGAACATTAAAATATACAGGTCTTATTTTACTAATCTTTACCGATCTACAAAAGAGCTTCAATATTGAAGCCAATGTAACTTTAAAATATCTACAATCTCACTGTTTGCTGTATTTTTTATAACGAACATTTTCATCAAATTTGTCGACATATAAATTTGCAATCATGTCCATTCAGTAGGTTTGATACGAATGATGGTCTGCCCAACCAATTCAAGTCTAATCACAATCAAATACCTGTTCAGGGTTTCCCTATGATTGGGTAAAGTAAGTTCAAACGTTTAATTTTGTTATTGATTCCTTATGTAAGTTTTAAGTAGTTTCTGGTATATAAAATGTAAACGAAAATGAAATACACGCGGTTCTCTATTGTTATTGAAAAAGGTGACAAGTTTCATTCATGACTCCTATTAATCATTAATTATATAATAAGTTGTATTTGTATTGCAAATATGCTAATTTGGACGGTTCATATGATCACCCTATACTATCAAATACTAAGATTTTGCATTCCATGTTATGTCATATAAATTGAAACTGATCTCCTTTTGAAAAAATTTCAGAATAAACATTACGGAGAAATTGCCGAATGAGCAGCACCACATGTAAATTTTTATCATTATCATCATTATTATAATATTTTGTTTACAAAAATTAAATGAGCTTAAGAATTAGAAAAATTGAAATAAAAAAAATAATGATTTCAAGAATCAGCTTTACATTTTAGATAGTGTTCAATGAAAAAGGTTAACATTTTAAAAATATGCAGGTTTTGTACCTTGACAATATGACGACTACAGCTTTGAAACAACGACTACGTGTAAAGAGTAAACTTACTTTATTCTCTAGCTGGGACTCTCTGTACAAGGGAACATTGCAAGTAATTCAAAATTAAAAAACCCGCGAAAAAAAACAATAAAATTACATTATTACACTATCCCATTCAAAATTGCAACGCAAAACGAATTTCCTAAAATGGAAGCATTTTCGCTGTGCTAAAATTAATACATTTTTGTTCAACATTACACAAATTCAACCTGCTGGTGATAATTGTATTAAGTTATTGCTATAAAAAGTTGGAGTTAAGCTCACTAGGCCGCTATAAGACTAGAAATAGTAAAAAAGTTTACGAGAGAGTAATACGAGATATTATATTTGTTACGGTAAAAATTCGGACTGGGTTAATCTCGAGTCATTTTCGCTTGCATTATTAGACAGGTACATTGTGAATGAACTAGCATTTTCCACCACGAATACTTCTCAAGCAAATATTAGTTTGACTAAGTAATATTCGTAACATTAACCAAAATTACAAGCTATTCTCGATATTAACTTAATGAATATCCTTTGAAACATTATCATCATTATCATATACATATATATTATACCTGATATACTGTATATATAATGTATATACCTGATATACTGTATAATTTTACCAAGTCTCTCAGTTTTTGATTTACATACTGTTACATTTGTTATTAAACAAATAGTATTTATTAATATTAAGTAAGTCGCCTGAAATATGATAATTAACTTTTACCGATTTTGAGAGCTAACAACAATGGGTGTTTCGTAATAAGAAATGTGTTTCCAGTTTCACCAGAGGCGTGATTGCAGATGCAATGCATCTCTAAATTAAAATAAAGTTTTTTTTCCTTAGCAATTTTCAAAAGAGTCTGTGGAGTTTTTCTTTCGACTCAGTTTTCGGGTAAAAAACGAGAAATCGAGATCCAATACAGTTTAAACTCATTTTATTACAAAAGATTACTACTATGTGCTGGTAATCTTCTATTTTGTGGCCTGTGGAGAGAAGTTGTAGGAGGGAAATGAAGTTTACTTAAAGAGCATCCACGTGCACTGTTGACACGTAGATTAGCTTTTAATAGCTTTAGTAGTAAATACATAATTCATAGCGTTTGGGGGAATTTTAGGAATGATAGAATCGTTGATATCACTTCACGGCAATAAATTATGAGGAAAGTATTCACTATTCTTGAAGCTCACGGTTTAAACCGAATAATACCGAAAACATTTATATTCAGATATTTAAAGTTGGAATGATTTACTTAAATAGGTTGAAAAATACGAAACGACTTTCAGACATATAGAGGCAGACGATAAATACTACCAAAAACCAACTACACAGTAGTTTTTAATTTGAAAATAATCATGGTTGGATTTCCGATAAGAAAAGAACTCGGGAATAATGTGGTTTAAAATTTCGAATAGCCTCCGAAAGTTCAATACGTATAATTCGAAATTAGCTTTGGTGACTTACAACGAAGACTTAAACCTTTCAATGCATTAAGAAGCTACTTTACCTACCCCACTCTTACTTTAATTAAATGAAGACAGTAACTTATACTTACGGATTTTTGCAGATTTAAAAGCCATTCTGAGGCTTTTTCCTTTTCCGTCTTATCCGGATTTGTGTATAAAGTTGAAACAGCTAAAACCACTAGTCCTAGGTTAGGTTTTTCATCCATGGTCAAATAAATGCAGCAAAAATGCAGCTATTTAATCTTAAGTCAAAATTAGCCGAATGTAAAAATTGGCATTATCTACTTTAACAGAAAATATTAAAATATATATTCAAGAGAGCTTGGAAACCCAAAGACTAGTAGCGCTAGCGCAAAACCACAACAATCAAACATCAAACCAATTCCTACTCTGTCATTTGGCGAGACGGTAAAAATCGTTGACGTTTTCATGACAGTTTAACTTTTGATTGCCGGTGTTTTAACCACAGAATATACGACCAACAGCTGACTATTCAAACTTGAAATATTGCACATGAATGTTCAGAGGTGATGAATGGGTTGAGCACATGATACAATGTATAAATGTATCATGTATTCATTGTATCATGGGTTGAGCATGTACAAGAGAACAGCATTTTTCAAGTGCCTAATAGATAGGACATGACGGCGACTCTTAATAAATATTCATACAGAAACTAAGTTTAATAGAAAATTTATATTTTGAGCCATATTTGTCCATCCATTACTGCAATAACTATAACGATTGATTATTAAGTAGATTATTAATAATTATTCTAAAACAGTATGATAGATACATATAAGGTGATTTAAAATCATTGACTGAAAAATATGGACATTTTCAAATATTGAACAATTGCTCACTATAAGTAAATAAGAAACGATTTTTTATATCATAAACAGATTGACAGTTGCAAAATAGGAGATTGCACTGAATATAATGAGTATACGCGTAAATATCAGTTAGGAATTGGACAAAAATAATAATATTTATGCTGTTTAGGTTCGTAGCTAATAGACATTTTTTTTTGGTTTGCCCGGCGGCTGGAATAAAAATCTTCGCGAAGATACCCAGTGTTCCGAACTCTGGGTAGTGTTGGATTCTTACCAACTAAAAAACCCCCTTTTTTGTACTACGAGTTTTCGGGAGTTCTCCTTTAAAACTTGTAGTCCTCTCTAAGAATTTGTGAGCTCCGGCATCCGTATGCCATAGCATCCCATTCTCTCCATGCTAGCTGCTTGCTAGCATGGGCATCTTATTAATTTACACCTTACTTCTACTTCTAATAGACATATATTGCCCTATATATACCTACAAGGGTAATTTGCAGCAATAAAATTGTGTTAAGACATTTTTCATAGTTCGTTTTATCGAAAAAATAAACGCGACGTGAAAAATAACCCCAATCAACAAAGAATTACTGTGCGAAAATGATGCCTTTTTTTTCTGCCTTCTTAAATCGGCAAATCGCTTTCGCATCTTCAGGATGGATATTCTTTGGTTCCATGTTATTCCTACTGTTGATATCTTCACAGTTGTTTATATTTGATTATTGACTTTGATAATCAGCTGTTTCCAACAGACGCTGATGGGTTTCACTACATAAACAATATTTCAAATAGCTTAAGCTCATTTTCTTTTGTATTTTATGTTATCAGCTTGAAAGCACAGGAGTGGGAGACCATCAGATAACAACCAATTTAAGAACAATGCAATCTGTCAGTACAGTACCATTTTATTTCCATTCTAAGATAGTCATAAGAATTTTACGATAATGTAAATAAGATATAATTAATGCAGCTTTATTCTCAGCATTTCAGCAACAGTTGCCGAATTATTTTAAATTGCCAATTTGGCATTTATAGTTTACAGTTTTTGCGTTTTTGGTGCAATTGCGTTGCTGGTTAATTTACGAGATTTATTACAAAGTTTAAGAGTACAGTGTCTACGATGCCAAGAATTCTTTCGGATTCAGGTAAGTCTTAACTAAAATAATTCAAATAGTTTAGAGAGGCGACGACACATAAAATTAGACGATTAAATAGTTGTGTAAATCTGACTTTCCACCTCGGTCTACCTTTGCGTAAAAGATACATATAATACTGACAAATAAATTTTCCATTCTAAACTTGCCACATTCAGAAGTATTTGGCTCAAATTGGTATTAAGCTCAAATCATTACATTAATCGAGGAACGACGGTGGACAAAAGCAGTAGGGAGCTGAGAGATTTGGAAAACCGAAGGGCACGATTTATAAAATTGTGAAGAAATGGAGATAACATGGAACTGAATTACACGCCATGGGCACGGCATTGCTGAAGAAAATAACACACTTAGAGGACCTTAAAAATCCTATTTCAACGGTTGTAGAAGCTGCACACATTACAGCCTTCCCTGCTTGCTACAGAGCGTCGAACAAGACAAATTCGCAGAAATCATATTTACTTAAGTGAAGAAAATAAACAAAAACGAGTTTGATATGCCATGGAGTTTTTGATGAAAGGTCTCAGTTTTTCGAATACTGTCATTTTTAGCACCGAAAAAGTGTTTCAGTCCTCACAGTCTCCAGTCCTCATATCGAACCATTATAATGGTTGGGTTCAAGTTTTCCACCTACAAAAAACCATCAGAACAGCTCCCAGGATTTTGTTGGAATATTGACGGCAGCTTGAACAGCAAATAATATAAAGATATACCTTCAACCAAGAAAACGTTTTCTTTCTATCTGCAAACATTTTTATTTCCAAATTAGAATATTTTTTTTAACAAGAGAAATGCCCAATTTATCAAACCATATATAGTGCAAAATGGTTATTTCAAACTCAAGTTAACTGTTTACCCTGGTGCTCGAGGAGCCTTGATTTAAATCCAATAGAGAATGTGTGAGAATCTACCTAAGACGATCTATAGAGAACATTTTTGGCCGCAACATCCAAATTAAATATGGGAAAAAATTGAAGAGACCAGAGGATATAGTAACTGGGATCAGCTAACACCAGAATACACAAGCACCTTAATTCGTTTCATGCCCACGTCTGAATTTAGTTTTAGATACTAATGGGGCAGCAATAAAATATTAGTTTTTTTATCTAGTCTAATTAAATGTCTTATTAATACTCTTGTTTTAAATCTAACGTTTTATTATTCCTAATATTATTATTGTTAATCAGTTTCGAACATATATTGTTCGAAACTAATGGGTTTTTCGGGTTTTTAGGCCGTCGTTCGGTAGCCAGCCTAAAAACCCGAAAAACCCTTTAGTTTCAAGAAATAGCCTCGAAAGTATATCTCTTTTGTTAAATTGTTTGGTTTCGTTATTTATTGCCTAGCTTCTGAACAACTTTATGAAATTCGAATATTTTCGAAAAAAGTCGCTTTCGGTAGTCGGCTACTTTTATGTGTCGTCGATGGTACATTGTCTTTGAATGTTGGTTCTATATATGTTTACATTTTAAAACAGTGTTTTCTTTTCCAAAAGATGTAACTGAACTTATCAAAAATCTGAATCAAAACACCAAGCTTGAAAGGAGTATGTAGCGTTAGTCAATGCTAATTGTCTTAGCAACTACTTACTTATTACCGCCCGATTATACAATCGAAGGTTAAGCTTGGGTCTGACTAAACTCAACCTAAGCCCTGAACCTGAACTCTGAGAGGCGGTTGACGAAATCAGATCAATATCAGTTGAAGTTGAACCGGATTTCAAGAAAATGTCAGTGTATTTTCGCATTGTACAAAATTGGTCCCTTGCATTCGCCTCGAGGTTCGAGAGTTCACGTTCAGGTTGAGTTCGATTTAACCAAGCTTAATCTTCCATTATACAAGCGGGCCTAAGTATTAACAAACTTAAATCATGTTAAACCATATTTAGTGATACTTTGCTTATCTAGATAATGAGTTTGAAAATAAAATCGGACAACTAATTGAGCAACCAATTTAGTAATTGAAAAACATACTTATTGTAGAGTCAACAGTTATCTCTTCTCAACCATTACTTAGCTAATCAATGGTTCGGAATCTCGGTCCACAATTGACAATTAAAGCTACTTTTGATATCATTAATTAATATCAATATCCAATTAATACGCAGAGTATGCCAATATATTAACTCTAAGAGTTAACTTAACTCGTTTTCTCACTCTTTTACCAAAATCTGCCTGAAATCCATCTAGAATCCATTATTGATCAAATCAAAAAGTATTCACTTTTTGATGATTTTGATTCACTACTTGAGATGCCTCAAGACACCAGAAATTAAAAGGAAACTAGAAGGAAATAACTGTCCTAAAGAAATTCTGAAATTATTATCGGAAAAATGATAAACAAGAAAAAAATGGCAACGGTCCAGATCCCCACAACGTAAAACTATTCTGAATAATCTTACATCTCAGCTGAGACGAGAGATTAAACAAATAAAGAACGATACCATTGGCGAGATCTTACGGAAACTTACTAATGATTCTAGTACAGAAGATTCGTTATGGAAAACTACGAAAAATCTGAAAAGATCATTAATGCATGCACCCCCAATCAGAAATGCAGATGAGAGCTGAGCTAAAAACAATGAGCAAAAAGCCAGACGAGCCATAACGCATGAGACTTGTCTTCAGCACTTGTCTTCAGTCACTCTTACTGAAGTTATTAAAGAAATAAAAACTAATATCAATTCAAAAAAAGCTCATGGATTCAACTTAATCACAGGACAGATCCTCAAAGGTAATCCTCAAAGAATTACCGAAAAAAGCTTTAATTAAGCGCACCAACCTGATCAATGCCTCTTTTCGACTACAGCGCGTGCCACAGTTATGGATGGAAGGTGGCAGAAGTGATCATAATTCTAAAACCTGGAAAACACTACAATCGATCAAGTCCACAATCGTCAATACTATAGAAAACTCGCTAGAAGAGAAGAAAGTGCTCAGCTATATTCCTAGATGTTGCACAGGCTTTCGATAAAGTCTGATACGAAGGTTTGATTCATAAAATTAAAATGTTGCTACCGGTAGCAATACTCACAAATATTGAATTCTTAGTTAACTGAGCGGTACGTCAGAATCAGACAAGACAATGCTTACTCTGATCTAAAATAAATTCAAGCAGGTGTTCCACGGGGTAGTGTTTGCACATGGGATCTGCCTGTTGCTGATCAAAATGTTGCTACATTCGTTGATGACTCTGCGATCATAGCGATAGGCGACAGCAATATGGAATCTACTGAAAAACTCCAAGCAGCTATGAATGAGGTTCAACGTTGGACCCTGAAATGGCGCACCAAATTAAATGAAAAGCAATCGATCCGTATCGACTTCACCAACAAACGAATAGACTACACACCAGTATACATTAAAAAAACGTTTGAATTATAACGAGGAACAAACAAGACCATTGTGCAGAACAATTCTAACAATGCTGAATTTTATCTCGATTCCGCTGTCTTAACTCTTAACGAGAGGCATTTTATATAGAAAAACTCATCTTTAAAGCTGGTTTCTAATTTAATCCCAAAATGTTTTATATCATAGCAATCAATTCAAATTAAAATTTGGACTTACATGATCAGATTACATCTGGAGTTATACAGATCACAGCAAAGATCCGTTGGCGCCAAATAGTTTTGCCGCATAATGGCGAATGGGAGGAGCTTTAGTCCTATTGTCGCCACTGTGTTTTATACAGTCACTGTAGTCTGTCCCAAACCTCATCTTGGCAGTGGGGCAATAATTGATCTTTTTCTATTACTTGTTCACCGATAGAGACGGAAATCTCATATTGAGGGTCCAATAACTCTCTATTAACGTTTAGCTTTCGTTAAATTGTTAAAATTTGCGAAAACGAACGGGAGGAGCTGGCGCTGTCTGAAGCTATATATTTCTGTGATTTATATTTTTAAATTTTTCCATGCTTTTTCTATTTGTGTGTCTGTTATTTGCTATTTTTAAATACCGAAAATGCTTATCCATTGTAGTAAAAGCCATCCACAGCTCATTTTGCTCATTATTTAACCACCATCACTTAGATCAGGGCTGTCCAAATGCAATGCCCCAAGGGTCGCTTTATAAAAAACTGCGGTTTGGAAGGTCGCATTATAAAATACTTCGCATGAAACTTTATCAGTATTTTAATAATTATGGTATTCTAGTACAAAGAAAAAAATGCGTTTGTCTAATTATTTTAATTTATTAAAAAAATATCAAATTTCAAAAAAATTGTGCGAAATTTGGGATGTCGGTTTTCACTAACTAATTCTTGAATTATTAACTTTAATATTTGTTGTTGATAAGCGAAGCAACTGAGTAAGTGACTTATCAGAGAGGAAACATCTATATTTTGACTTCTGACATCTATGAATTTCATGTTGGAAAAGCCGCTTTTGCAAATATATGTGCTTCCCAGCAAGCCCAGTGTAAATTTCACAAGTTTTAATTTTTTTATTTTTTTTGTCGTTCTTCGGGCAGCAACTTGAAAAAGTCTAATCCAGTTCAGTTCTTCTTTGGTAAAAAAAAATATGMTTACAAATCACACAATTCCAGTTGAAGGTCTGCCCTGCCTACATTCTCAATTAAGATTTTAAGGGGCTGAGTAGAAACTRAAATCCCCCTTTCAATTTTTTTTAAATTGCTAAATCGATTATGGAAWTMTTCTTGTGTCAATGTATTTTATGKGAGGTAAATCTGAAATTTTCTCAAAATCCTTCATTTCTTCAAAATGTTGTTTACAACGGGGAAAAAATTAAAAATTATTTTTTTCTAATTAAGACTTGAGAAGCTTAATTTTGATGTTAAATCTATTTGTGTCCAAATAAGTTGACAATATTCTGCTCTTTTCCTTGTAGCTTCAAATTCAATTCATTAAGGTGAAATGTCAGGACTGCTAAAAATGCAAGGCCTGCTAAAATTGTGCATCTACCATTTAATTTTCCAGTTCCGTAGTGGTAGATTTGACTTCATCTTGAAGGAAAATAGGAATCTCCTTGCATAGGGTGAGGAATCGTTGCCAACAGTTCCTTATTTTTACATTTTATTTTCTTCATTTTTTACATTTTATTTTCTTCAAACGTGATGATTGCAGGTGGTACTTCAGTAAATTACAATATGGCGTCTTACATAATGACGTCACTGCCAAAAGGCCTGGGACAGACTGTACACACATTTACTACAAAATTAATTATTAGTGCATTAGAACAAGATATAAACTGAAATTTTGATATAATTTTTATTGGCGGTCGCAATAACATTTGATTATAATATTAACGTAATTTTGATATTGTTTAGGGAATTTTTCTAATTTATCAGGCTTTCGCATTCCAAGTTAGCAACAACGTTATACATAATTTGTAAATTATGCCCATTTAAGTATTTGTTCTATTTTTCTTGGGCCAACGTTTCGACTAGATTTAAACCATCTTGAGGACTACAAGGAAAAACAGAGTGGTTTCAGACTTAAGTATAGAAAAATAAACACATAGTCGTCAATGAAATATATTAATTTAGTCGTTTATATTCAATAAAATTAAAAGGAACCTAACAGAAGAATAAAGTAGCAAAGTACAAAATCACTAATCAGCCGCAGCATWAGTTCTATATAATATATTTAGTAACTTCTATTCTTAGTACTTATTGATTYTTCTGGAAATGCAGTTCTCGCCCACTTTTCACTAATTGAAATTCATTACTTAGACAACAGAGAACATTCTTTATCATATCGTAACAAAAGACTTGATGAAGTTCAGACTTTTCGGAGGCAAAACACCCAATTAAAAGGTTTTGAAATTGTTGTTTTAGTTCTGTAAATTTGTGATTTATTTAAGTATTTATTTGTACTTTTTTTCTCAGGATATCAACCAATATCAGGTTGTACTTTTCATGACATCTACAACGAAGAAAATGATCAACGGGAATGTCGTATTTATGGCTATAAAAGCTCAACTTCAAGACGTATACTGTTTCACCTTTTTGGCTTCTGTCTGTTAGGCATTCCGTATGTCGTATGCAACTCGTATCTTCGCTTAAAGTGCTGGTTTATCTACAAACCGTCTAGAATTGAAGATTCGGACATTTTCTTAGGTAAGAACAGTTTATATTTTCTTGTGTTTAATTTGGCTTTCAATGCAATTTAATAAATGTATAAATCGGATATGTGTGGGGTCAAAAATACGAGGCAATCAAGAGTGGGTAATATTTACAATAATTTTGATTGATAACGTTTAATAAGAGCACCAAAATTAGTTAATTCTGTAATACAAACATATTTTTGATATGATTTTGCACCCGACAGTTCGTTATGATCTTCCACCATCAAACATTAATCCAGAGTGTTATACCCGAACTGTGCCTCGAATTTTCGCGATATGTCAGCAGATTTGGTCTCATCTGGGACAAAAATTTATCAGGGCACTGTTTTTCGCACATAGTCTCTTTAATAGCAAGTGGAGCTAACGAAAATCAAGTCGTTGCTATCTGCTCCCTAACTGCCAATGCTACTTAAAAACTAGCTTAGCCCGGTGAACGACAAACCCTGTAACAAAACAGCAACTAGAAAACAAATCAATGACGTATATATTTAATATACCTTCATATTAGCAAATATATGAAAATATAATATTAGCAAATTTTTCAGATAAAAGTCATTATTTGTTACTAGATTGAGCTCTATCTGAAATTAATGCCACCCAAATTTCATTAAAAAACATTGCAGATTAATAACTCAAAATGAAATATTACTTGGTTGTTCTAGATCTATTTCTTCTTATCAAGCAAGCTCCGCAGAAAAAATGTCAAAACAGATTTTACCATTAAGACATTAAAAAAAAWTAAGGCCGGTATGTTTAGTCGATCTTCGGAACTTTGCCGGAGATTGTTTTGGCGTTTTGCCGTTTTGGCGATCTTGCCGCCGTCGACGCGATAGCGACGGGTTTTTGATGCATAGTTGTTCTTCGTTAGGCGGAATCGCCGACGATTGTCCCATAGAATGAGCATGCGCAATATCGCTATTCTGATGGCTTCTGCGGCCCGCTTTTGAGCTGATATTATTAATTTACTGATAAAAGTTCAGCACTGGTTGCTGTTTAGTTAGCTGGTGAATTATTTTAAATTTTAAAAGTCGGCGYTAGAAGGCAGAAAAGAAAGCTAGTTGCCTCGAAGGATAAGATAATGTATAAATAAATCCCAAAATAACATTTTTTTCTAAGAAAGGCATATTAGCGGTGAAACCCTTTATCAACGTTGAGAAAATCAACCAATTGATCCCGAAACCTCTTTTCTAAACATTAAAAAATGGAATGTAGTAATAACTTTGTTTATTATTATTATTATTATTTCAACAACACATCATACATAGAAGCTTGAATTTTTTTCACCGAGTAGGGACTGACCATAAAATTCATTATTAGATAGTTATCACAAGATATCTACAAACAAAACAAAAATAGTATAAAAAGCACGAGAAGTTGAGAACTTTCCCTCACAAAATAGCTTTGGCGATCGTTCGGAGATGCATACCCCATCTCCCAGAAATTCCCACCGCATCGCCCAACAACATTAAAATGCGCGTGCGTCAGATGCCCAACCGATCGGGTGTGCAACCAAAATTGCTTCCAGCGAACGTCGGGAGGCCGGCGCATCGTAAAAGATCGACTAAACATACCGGCGTAAGAACCAAAAATGTGGTTTTGTTCATCAATCCATCGTTTAAATTGATTCACTTATAACTTTTCGCTATTGCCGTGTATGCATTGTAGTTGTTTTGGCGTAGCGTCGGTACATACAACGTCGTTTTAGCGTGGACTTTTTCTGCTAACTATGGACTTAACTTTTACTCTTGTTGCTTTATTTTTCCCTGAATAAACAAGAAACCAAGAACCGTCGAGTTGGGTGGGCGCGACGGATGATGCTAAAATAACTATTTTTCTATTTACCGGTTTTCAATTTATTTGGGCAGTCATTTCCTTTCTACCATAGGCCAAGCAAGAGAGATGGAAATAATAGCTTGTTTGACCTATTAGAAAACCACCTGCGCTATCACGTACAGGGCAGTCCGTACTTCAATCGCGCTATGTCTTGGACAACAAAATGTAATTTTTTAATCTCTTATACACAATTTTTAACAAAAAAATTGCGTTTTTTTTTTGTTTCTCGCTTGTAAAATCGAAACGATTGAAGCAATCTTAATGGTATAATGGTTGAGGTCGATAATGAGAGGTCAATCGACCTGATAATGAGAACAGGAGAAAAGTTGACAAAATCGGAAAATTTAACGTTTTCTTAACAAATTCACAACTTGGCCATTTTTTAATATTGGTTAAGTGGGTGAAACAGAGACTTAAATATGAGTGAAACGGCCGAGCGCGCAAAAGCAGTCGAGTGCATTAAGATTGCTTCAATCGTTTCGATTTTACAAACCAGACAATAAAAAAACTCAATTTTTTGAGTCCAGCTTTGAGAAAATCCGTTTCTTGTAACCTTGGTCATACCCCTGAACAAAATGTTCCTTAAAAAGTGTCTATTGTACATTTATTCTCCTTGAGTCTATAAAAACAATTCTATTCTTTCTTTATTTTCCAGATCAAGAGTATGCAAAAATATATGTTTAAACGGGCTTTTTTTTAAACTTACGAGGCTACTAACATTTCTAATGATTTCTCCAGGGAATATTTAAGTCTAGACTAGCTATGCGCAAACTTGAAGTAAGATTATTAAGAAAATATGTCAGTATTTGCTCTTTATTACTACTTAGTGCTCTTGCATTGTCTATTTCGTAAAGATTTATTTATTACACTGCACAGTACTGCTGTTGACTGGAGACCTATCAGGATACCTATTATTCTGTTCTCTGGCCCGAAATCTCACAGTCGAATAGTCACCAACAATTCAAACAAGTTCAATTTTGTCTCTTATGTTGTTCCATTATTGCAAACCAATTTCTTAAATTTTACCATTTACTTTAGAGCTCTAAACTGATGAAGATCTAATGATTTTAGTCACTTTGATATTGCTAGTTATTTTTGACATGTTTTACCATCGCTTGCTCCGTAATGATACGTCCAGATCTAACGAGCCGAGTCCGAGACCAGCCCGAGCCGCGACAAAATTTCTTTGATGATTCGTCAAAACACCGAGAAACGATGGATTTTCTGTCGGTCTCAGGCTCGGCTCGTAACTTTTGGACGCGGCATAAGAAACATTAAACTGAACAGGCACGTGACATTTAGCTATGCTTATTATTATTTAGTTGAATTATTAATATGCTCATTTTTGTTTAATTATTTCAAGAAATTGTATTTTAGGCGGCGCTACATTCAATTGTAAATTTCTACATATCCAAGAAAAATTCCCAAATATATGTCTTATAGTAGGTACATTTTTTTTGGTCTTCACTGGAAAAATGTTGGCATTCGCTTTTAAATGGGTCACATGCATATATCAAACTACCGCTTTTAATTTAAAAATAATTAAGCTTTTTTTGATACAAAGGTCTAAAAACACCAATAGCTTTTATCTGCACGATAAAGTTATTTAATATAAATAAGGAACCTAAAAGCCGCAACGTATACGGAGGTTTTTTGTAATTTTCCAGTGCAAGGCAGTAACGGAAAATATACCATCGAAAAAGTGGGCACGGAAACGGTTGATTTGCCCCATTTGCCAATGGGTAGTTTTGTGAAATATTTCTTTCATCAACATACGAAGTATGTTTGGGTTGCTGAAAAAGGAACATTCAGCACGTTGAACCAACTGTTATGGTCTCATCAAACGTGTGATAGTATTTTAATGAATACTGAAGGTTTAAGCAAACAAGTACATTCAGAACTGTAAGTTTATTGTTTTGTCAGTTGAGTTATTTAAAATTTGCACTTGTGGATTCAGCCATTAAATTCACTTCTAAATCCCAGAACTACAGGATGGTCCAAAAAGTTGTTAATATCTAGTTGCGTTGAAGAAAATTTGTAGGAAGGGGTAAAAAAGTGAGATCGGTCTTAAGCGATAGTTGGACGTAGAAAAATTGGGTCACTCACTTTTTTCGTCACCAATTTTGTGCCTGCCTGTAGTGCGCCGTAGAAGCAGAGAGTTCTTATGTTTAAGCATACGGGTTCTACCTAAAATAAACCCGTTATTTAAAAAAAGTTCACGGTTAATAAGAAAATAAAGTTACTGTGCAAGTTATGTCGACACGATAAGCAATTGTTTTGTTACTGCTCTTCCAAAAAATTGAATAATAGTCCCAAAACACCTGGTTCCAACAAGACGAAGTCACTTCACAAAAAGTTGCAATTTGCAGGCAATTCTTCAACTTGACAAAGTTGATGCTGATGATAAACAGAGGGCAGGTATTCAGTGGCTCTTTCGAAGCCAAGATCTGAGCCCCAGTGTCGTTTTGTATGAAAACTGCTTAAAACTAAAGTGTTCTGAAATCGCGATGGAACAAACTGGATAGACCTTAACGGTAATATTCGTCAAAAAACGAAAAAAACTCAAGGCATCTGCCGCCGCGTTATGGCAAATTTCAGTTATCTGCTTAAGGAAATTTTATTTAGAAACACATTTAGAAAACTAATTAGTAAAATTGAAGTGCTTTTAATTTTATAAATTCATTTAAAAGTAAGCCATTTTTTGGATCACCTTGTGTTTGCTGATATCTTCCTTTTGTGATGGAATCTCCTAATCAGCTAACATACATATGTTTCGCTTTTTCTATAGCAAAATACTTTAAATTGTTTTTTTATTAATTCAGGAATCTGAATCAACTGACTTCATGTCTGTTCTTAGGTTGAGATTATGCGGTCCAAATAAGATTGAGGTTGAAATCAAGTCTTACTGGAAACTATTTATGGAAGAGATTTTTCACCCTTTTTACTTATTCCAGGCATTTTCTGTTGCCCTATGGTGTTTCGATAGTTATGAGCTATATGCAGCATGTGTTATTATTCTGACATTATTTTCCAGCATTACTTCGCTGATCGAAACTCGAAAGGTGAAAGATTATTTTCATTTTTGATTTGACGAAAGTAGTTTTTTCCGTTCCTGTTATAGCAAAGCAAAAATTTACACGACAAAGTAGAATCTTCAAAGTGCCATGATGTAACTGTGCTGCGAACAATTCTGGGACGGAAAGTAAGCATGGCAATTGAACCTGAAGCTTTAGTGCCTGGCGACTTAATAGTCATGCCAGCTGCAAATTATATCATGCCATGTGATGCCGTTTTAATTACTGGGCAAAGCATAGTGAATGAAAGCGTTCTAACAGGTATTTATCTATTTTTATTACTCGACGTTTAAAATTTATTTTGGGATGTAATGATATTATGTACCATGGTTTTGTTTAACACACTTTAAGAGTCGTTACCAAATACTTTTTTAGGAAGTAAATTTAATATGAACAAATTTTTGCTTAATTTCAGTAGCTTCCTTTCTCATTCAGTAACCCTTCCTTCACATTCAGTAATTCCTTTCAGTAACTCAGTTTTATTGCTGAGAAAATGTTGATGATTTTTTTAATTTTTTTCAGATTTATTTTAAAGGCCATTTATTAATAATATTTTTAAAATGTCTTCAAATTTCAGAATTTTCCAGTTTTAGCCAAGTTACTTTTTCTTCTAAATGATCAATTTTTCTAAAGTTTTACTTAAAAATGCTGACAATCAACACAAAGGTATTTTCGGCGAAAAATTATGAAATAAATTTCGAATCCTTCGTTGCTTTGTAAAAATTTTTGAAATCTCTTTCCAGCTTCGAATTTGGAACAAAAATCAAATAATTTTCTACCAAAAAACGAACAGAATAAGCGAAAGTTTATAGCATTTTATATATGTATATATAGTTTCACTTAAAAATACTGACAATCTGGAGGACTTTTACGCGAAAAATTAAAAGATAATATTATAGCTTTATAAAAAAATTACAAAAACTGTTTTCAGTGTCGAATTCGGGACAAAACCATTAAGGTTTTCTCCAAAACCGATCACAAAACTAAAAGTTGGGGTGTTTTCAGTCATAAATGACAAAATTAATTTTGCTTGAAAATATTCGCCCCGTTCATCGGTTTGCCGGGAACTTTAGAAAACTCTTTTAAGCTTCGAATTTGGCCAAAAACCAAATAGTTTTATTCAGTTTTTACCGAAAGTAATCAGGGCTATCTTAAAAAAAAACGACCAGAAAGCAAAAGTTTACAAAAATTATTGGAAAAATTCGCCGCCCTCATCGCTCTGAATTTATAAAGTTCCTTTAAATTTTCAGCTCATTCACTCGCCTCCTTCACCGCTTTGCAAAAATGCTTGGAAAACTTTTTGTAGCTTCCAATTAAGGACAAAACGCTAATAATTATTTCTAGGTTTTTTTTCCAAAAATATTAGCCCGAACTGAAAAAGCGAAAATTTATAATCATTTATTTGGAAAATTTTTGGAAACTGGAGTTTCTTCACTTTTAGGTCAATTTTTCTAAACAACACTGTCTCTAAACAGAAAAACCGCGTTTTTCCTAACGTTTTACTGTAAAATACTGGCAAACTGAATCTTTTACGCAAAAAAATTAAAAGATCGAGTTTACAAGAAAACTCGTCGACTTTCTTTAGACTCTTGTCCTTGTCTTTTGGGTTCTGTTGCTGGGAAAATCTAGATAACTTTTTTAGTCGTTTGAACAAAGTAGTAAAACGTTACTTAGAAAAAAATGTTAATAACCTTTTTTTAGATGTGAGAACTGTGTCTCGGGTCTAATAAAGCTTTAACTGAATGATGATGACTTATTAACCGATGAGTTATAACTCGTTAACTCAGAGAGCGGCAACAACTCTATAGCGCAACTCCACACAGTGTGTCCCAACTTTGTCATTGAGTCTTTTACTCAGTTGATGAAAATTTTGAACAACCTTCCATAGACTAACGTGTCCTGATTTACTTGTAGAATTATCGGTAATTTCCATTACCGACTTGTGTGGTAACATGATAATACTCACACCATTTGTGGTGGTTCAATTTCGAATTTTGCATAAATATATGGATCGCAATTTACAGCATTAATTTGTGCCCTATTTTCACCTCGACCCTCAATCATCAAACATTTTTACAATTTCTAGAAACGGAACATCAAAACCTGTGGTACAAAATACCGTTAATTTTAAGATGGAATGCATAATTTCATTTTTGCGGTTGTCCTGCTTTAATGGTTTATATATTAATTGTGAAGATAACGTTTGTTAATACTCTGTTTTAAAGGTTCGGAAGAAAGTAGGAATTTTAACAAGAAAAAATCAAACCACTGAGCAAAAACCAGAAAAAGTTTTATATTCTATAAAATTCTAAAAGCAGTATTAACAAAGAAGCTATTGAAATTAAAGAAACATTTTATTAAAACTTTATTACGCTGTATCTGGAAAAGAAAATTAATTCGAAAATATATTTATTTCAATGTTTTTCATGAAAACAAATTTTAATAGCAACAAATGCTCAATATCATGAGTTCAGCAGATTCGGCAAAATAATTTTTGCTTCAAGTTCATAGAATTAAAATATTGAGTATTTAATTTCGAACACTTTTTACAGGAGAAAGCGTTCCTATAACGAAAATCTCTCTTCATCCTAGTTCTGAATATTATTCAGGAAAGGCTCACAAACGGCACATACTTTACTCTGGAACCCATGTGCTTCAAACCAGGTAATGTAGCGATTTCTTACTGTTATAACATTTGTCGTTTATTTACTTGATTGTATTAAAATAAATTGAGCAGTTTTCTGCAAGGTATAACGATTATTTAGACATTTTGAAAAGTGGTAATAAAAATATTAATAATGACAATTTCAGGCATGTAATTAAGTAAACAATACACAGTGTAATAACCGCAGAATTCATGGAGATAACTAACACGTTAGTTAAATCGTTGACTTGGTTTGTTTACATGCTCAGAAATATATCGGGTCATACCTATACGATATGTAAAAATATGATAGTGTCGCATTTGGAAAAGTGGCTTTTGCACATGCAAAATACATTAGGAAACGGTTTGGGCACTGTAACTTTTGTTGTGTTGAGTTTGTTTATACATATATTAGCATTGCCACAAACTTTTATGATCGTAAAAACATGAAATTTTTATATAAAAATTTACTCATTTCTTTAAAACTGAAATGTTGATCTGAAATGGAAATGTATTCAATATTCCTTATCAATTTATGGCAAGGTGAGGCTATTTTGCGACTTCTTTTCTTAGAGGATGGTGGTAAAAATGACTAAAATTAGCTTTGCTGAATACTTAATGTTATAAAAATACAGGGTGGGCCACATTCATAAGCTCTCACATATTTTAACTGCCGATATTATAATTATTTTTGGAAATGTCGGAACTCTAATGCCGCATTTGTCGTATTGCTAAACTATTGGAATTAAAAGGTATAACATAACTCTCTACTTGGCTTGGCTCTAATGATCCTCCCCTTGAGTATCAACCAAAATGACAATCATTTTCATCAGAAAATGCAATAATTTAAATTCGAAGCAACGAAAAATACTTTCACAGTTGTTCCAGTACAATTATCTTTGAAAAAAGCCATTTTACATTTTTTTAGGTATTATGGGGGAAAAGCTGTTTTAGCTAGAGTAGTTTCTACAGGTTTCGACACTACAAAAGGTCATTTGGTGAAAAGCATTTTATTTCCCACTCCGGTGAATCTCCAGTTTCATAAGGACTCCTTCAAGTTTATATTTTTTATGTTTATTATAGCGTTTTTTGGAATGGGTTACGCTTTGTATCTATATTATGTTCGAAATGTAAGTGAACGGTTTTTTGTAAACGGAATGGGATATGATGAAAATAACTGTTTCTTTTAGGCATCCGTTGCCGAAATGAGTTTTCGCTCTCTGGATATCATTACCATTGTGGTTCCGGCAGCTTTGCCGGCTGCAATGACCATTGGAACAGTTTACAGTCAAAGCAGATTGAAAAAATTAAAGATTTTCTGTATTAGTCCTCCAAGAATAAATGTATGTGGTAAAATAAAGCTGGCATGTTTTGATAAGGTAAGTAACCATGAGCTAATTAAAACTCACTTTTTGGTTATTAATTTCTATTATTATTGCGGAGTCAGTTATAATCAGTTATAATAGTTTTTATACATTAGTTGTGGTGTGGATAATAATATAATAATATCTCTCAGATCTTTGAGATACTCAATTTCAATTGCATTTATTAGAATTTTACACATTAGAGTGAACTAGAATTTCAATAAAAACCCTAAAATTKTTGAGTTAATTTAACGGATTTATCAAACTGAAAATAGTTTTTTCCAAAGAAGGGATTGAATAATAAGTATTTGAAAAATTTTTAAAACCCCTTTTTAAATAATTCTAAAACCGTACTGAACCAATCACGGGTTACAACTTTTCTCTAAGAATATCCGAAAAAATATTACATAAACATAAATAGTGTTTCTTTTAAAGCCTTTTTTGCACTAGTTTCCC